AGGAGAGTCAGTTTTCCTTTAGTTTCTGTGTGGCTCCTGGTATGTCAATCATCCTCCAATGGGTGGTCACTTATCCAGAAGTATATGCGCCCCATAAGGTACACTCTGTAAGTTATTAAAAAATTAAACACAAGAGGATGCAAAGATGGGAGGGGTGAAGTGGTAGGGGTGGATCTGGGAGGAGGCAGGAGGCAGAGTGGGAGAAAATATGATCAGAACACATTGCATAACTGCATGGAATTCTCAAAGAATCAAGAAAAGTATTGTATTTCTAAAAAGCTGATCGTGGAGATGTATACATTTGTGAACATGTTGAGAATCCAGGGTAATTTACTTTAAGCAGGTAGTAGGAAATATGAATTATATCTTAAGAGAATGGGTTTGGAGAAATGCAGGTATAATGTCATAGTTCTCCAAGTTCTGCATTGTTCAAGTTAAATGGAGAATCCAGTGTTGTACTACAGTGTCTATGTTGTCATATAATGTAAATTAAGAATAGATATATAAGCATGTATGTGCATATATATATATATATATATATATATGTGTGTGTGTGTGTATGCATATGATACATGGACATATACCAAAGGTGTCAATTTTTTTTAGTATGAATCCTTAACCTAGGATAAGTCCCTATTGCAGAAGACACCATGTACTTCAGATGTGGGGCCCAGAGGCCCCACAGCTGGAACTGAACTTAAAGCCTATACTCTGAGGACTAGTTTTCATGTTCCTAAAAGGCACCATGCAAGCTTCCAAAATAGGGAAGCAACCAACAGTCCTACCCAATGATGATACCCAAGAACCACTATAAGGACCAACATGGCACAATAACCCTAAAAATGCACTAGTGGCCCACCAACCTTGGACATAGTAAGGCCCACTCAACAGAGGGAGATCATGTTGGTACTGGAAACCTATCCAACTACCCAGGGTTAGTAAATTCATAGAGCTGGGAGAACCTACGACCACCACTAACTATATTCTCAATATTTGTCCTTATACCCATAGGTAAGTGTAGTCCTCACCCATCATTAAGGAAACATCTCTTTGTGACAGATGGAGACCATTATAGAAAAATCATAACCAATCAAAACACAGAGTTGTGGAGCATAGTCCCAATGGGTATCTACAATACAACTCGTGCACCCAAGGCTCTGTGATCATTGCAGAAGAGTGGGTAGGAAGACTGCGAGAGTCAGAGAAATGAGGTGTTTGCTGTGGGATTGTACCTCCTAGGAGTATCAGAAGCTATATCCATAAAGTCTTACCAACATGACTCCTCATACATTAGCTGAACAAGAACCACAGCAATAGACATAGAAGGGGGAAAGGTCATGACTCCTCAACCCTGTATAGGCAACTAAAGAATGCTAAGAATGGGGAAAATAGTCTTCCCCGGGGAAAAACACACCAATTGGCTATCTACTACCAAATGGTCAGCTCTGAAAACATTCATGCAAGTACAATTACATAGATTGAGCAGGGCATTTATGAATATATATTATTAATGAAAGAGAGACTATAAGTTTGAAAGAGAGCATATAAGAGGATTTAGAGAGAGGAGCAGGAAAGGGGAGATTACATTATAATCTCAAAATACAAAAAATAATTAAAAATTGTCTAATTGTATGGAATGCTTAACTACTCAAGACAGGGATCACCTGGCAATGTTTGGTTACTTCCTAAGAAGTCAGAGAACTACTATTTCCAACTGACAAATGGGGAAACTGAGGTCTGGGGCTTGATTGCTCAGAAAGTTAGCTAAGTAAGAGTGACGTTAGGTAGGCCATAAAACAGGGTTTGAAGCCTTCAGATTCTGTCTTCACCAGCCTTGCTCCCTCTCCCTCCTTCCTCTGGCAGCTCTCCACGGGTGGTGATTTGAGTCCTACAGAATGCTCCAAAGTGGCCAGAGGGAAGATGTCTGGGCTCTGCTCTGAAGCCCAGCCCTTCTGACCAAGTGGAAAGAACTGTGGCACATGCTCATCCTTTCCAAAGGGTTTCTGTTCCTTAATCTGTAATTGTACCTGAGATGCAGTGCTCCTAAGACAAGGAGTAGATCCATGCAGCAGCAGGCTAATTATGTGGCTGGACTTCTAAAAATTATCATCGTATAAATTGTGATATTCCTCTGAAGGGGAAAGAAAACACAGCACACCCTCCACCATGTCTCAAGCTGAATTAATTAGGAATTTGAAGCCTAATTATCAACTAATCTATTGGAACACGCCAGTCTTTCCTATCTGGCGGGTGTTTGCAATTTGCAGCCTATTAGTGGCAGTTGTTAGGATCTGAGAACTCATTAGGTCAGAAGAGGAAAAATGTGGATCAGAAAGATAGTGCAACCTGAGGAGCTGACTTGGGGAGGCTGTGGCTGAGGGGTCACTTGATGACAGATGAGGGCTGGTGGTTTGACTACCTGGGTTCTTCCTTCAGAGGCTCTGAAGGCCACTGGGTCATTTCTGCCTTACCAAAGGAGGTAACTGTGTATACCTTTGCCCAGGTTCTGTTTTCTTCCCCAAGCAGCAGGTGTTCAAGGGCAGTGGATGCTGTCACCAGCGTTGGTGCTTGCCTACTTACACTTCTTGCTATTGTATAACACTGGCTGAGCCATACTCCCTTAATGGCTCTGCTTCCCTACAAGTAAAAGAAGTTCTGATGGAACTGTCTTCCAAGGTCCCATCCAGCCCTGTGGATCTGGTATAAAAGGGATGTCCAATTTTTCCTCAGTTTTAATGAACAGGTTTGTTTATTTATTTATTTATTTTATTTATTTATTTATTTATTTATTTATTTGCAAATTATCTTTCAGGGATGAGATCCTTAACTTCTCCATAAAGATTCTAAACATTAAAATGCAAATATCTTGAAAAGATGATGGATATAGCCCTTGACACCTAAGTGACACCTTTCTCAGGAAGTCCTTCTTAGTTCCAGTCCTGATCTAGGGGCTCTGGGGCAAACAAGGCAAGAGAGGTTCAGAGGGTAGAGAGGGAGAAATACAGGCTGGAGAGCAGGCAGGGCAGAACTTAAGGATTAGACAGATGTCTGAACCCTAATTTTAGACACGGATTGTGTGCCTTAATTCAACTAATGACCTTTATTCCTAATACAGTATAAAATGCCAATCTTTTATTTCTTTCCTTCAACATCTCCCAGAGGTAACCATAACTAGATAACCTGACTCAAACTGAATGTGGCTATTTATTTAGCTCAGAAGGTTAACATTCTCATAGATTAAAATATGGTAAATACCACAACTGAATGGAAACATGACAAGTTAAGAAGGCAGGCCAAGGTAAAGGAAACGCTTTGTAGGAGGGGTGGCTATCAAGGGAAATGGGTATATGGCCGTGTGTCTTGTGGGTTCAGGTTTGACGGCAAGTGCAGTCACTGTGGGAAAGAACTGTGGAGTTCCTGAAAGTGTTACACACAGGGTCTAGTGCAGTGCACAGCCCAGCAGCCCCTAGCCTTGGTGTACTACACGGGTCAAAATTGTATGCAACAGTGTTTATCATACCAGTTTCAATGTGATAACGACTTAGAAGTCCATCAGCCGTGTCAGGGATGAACAAAACAGGCTGTCTGTCTATAATGGGCTACTGTCCACTGAGATAATGATTTCCTGAGGCTGTGGGGAGCTTGGAGTGTGAGGTATGTAATGACTACTGATGTGCATGGGTTTGGGGGTAATGAAAATTTAAAATAAAGTCATGATGGTTTCATAGCCATATAAACGCATACAGAACCACGGAAGTGAGTGCTATAAGTTAGTGTGTGATCTGTAGATTTAATATTAAAGTCTGAGTACAAAAGAATATTACATTTGACTATGGAGAAAAGAGCTTGAAGAATCAAAGTTTATGATATAAAAGATAAAAGTGGGAACCATGACACAGGAAGAGTAGACATGACAGAGATGACGATAGCCAGAGAAAACTTACACAGACACATTCTGGTGTCCACGTAAAAAGTGTGTGCATACAAAGCACTTGAGAAACCAAACTGTCTCCATGGCGTACAAAATAATAGCACCCGATATTCAGCTACAGCATGTTAAAGTGAAGACATTTTTTTTTAAAGACACAGGTTTATTTAGACTGTATATAAAAATGAAAAAAAAAAAAAAACCTCTAAACTGACATTAGTATACATTACCCTGTAAGATATTTCCTGGTTAAAGATTTGTCAATTTTAGTGTAATTATGATTTAAATGCCCGTATCTGTGAATAGTAAAACCAGGGTTGGGTCCAAACCAGTGGGATTCAGACTTTCCCTGGCTGTTCCAAGATGTGGTGATTTTTCTCACTGCTAGGGTCAGAGCTAATCAAAGAGGGGGCACTTATGAGAGATAAAGGTGTGTACTGTAGCTTCCAGCATGCTGTCTCCCAAGGACAGCTAGCTGTTCATGGGTAGTGTGCTGTAGCTTGACAGCAGGACTGTGATGATCAGTTTCAACTGTCAACTTGTCACAACCTGTTATCACCTAGGCACCTGGGAAGAGAGTCTCAGAGAGAGAGAGGGAGGGAGAGAGAGAGAGAGAGAGGGAGGGAGGGAGGGGAGACTTGACCTATGGGCAGACCTGTGAGGGGAGTTCTCTTAATCTAGTGATTGATGTGGGGAGATCCAGCCCAGCTCACTGTGGGTGGCACTGTTGCCTAATCAGGGAGTGCTGAACCTAATAAAAGTGGAGAAGTTGATGAGCTGAGAGCAAGCAAACAATCAGGTGCATGTATCGAACCTGGAACTGTAAGCTGAAATAACTGCCTTTGTCCCTTAAATTACTTTTTAGACAGGATGCTTTTTGTTTCTGGCAACAGAAAAGAAACTATAGCAGAAGGCTAGAGGGAAAGAGGTACACTTGGTGCCTCTGAGGCTTAGCAATGCCACTGTGAATTGTCCCTTCCTCCTACATGGTTCACATCAGGTGGATGTAAGGCAAGCTCAGACCCTAGGTGTGGGAAGCACAGGTCTGGGCTGTAGGTCCTACTGCACTCACCAGATTGGCAAGGATGTAGTGGTAACCGATGCCATTCTTTTCCAGCTTCACAATCTGAAAGACAGAACGGGAGGGTACTCATTAGTTATACCCACATGTACAGTGACAGGAGCAGTGATGACATCAACTGGCCGTTTACGACATGCCCTTCTCTGTCCCAAGTGCACAAAGCTGTAACATCCTTACTGCGTAATGACGGTGATGCTGCTAGCATCTTTGACAGATGAGAAAGAGCCACAGAGGGCTAACTGATGCTCCTTTAGGTTGCACAGCTATGGAGAAGTGAATACAGGATATGCAGTCACTATTGACTGGTTTGGGTGTCGGGGGTTAGGGGGAGGTTAGCACTGCAACTGCAAGGAGAAAGCCTAAGTACTCACTGCAGTTTTCCCACCAAGCTTTCCACACACATGGTGTAGGAATCTGGTGTTGCATGGAACTGGCTGGTATTCACGGCGGGGTCTGTCAGGGCTGTTCAGGTGGTCACATGAGTGAGTGGGTAGTCACTGAGGCATGAACCGCATGCAGACACCAACTCTGCTTTCTGAATTCTGTGTTCTCCTCCCTAGGAGGTTTAGCACCCAGATGTCAATAGATCATTCAACATGGGTGTTGGGAGGGAAGACTGAATTACCTGGTCTAACCCCTCACTGAATATATGGAATGTGGCCTGAAGTGGGGAAGTGATTTTTTTTATATGACCCCTGTGTGGTCTGTTAGTAGTGGAAGGACAGAGGTCTCTGATGCCTGACACTTTCTGTATGGCACCAGGTCACTTTTTAGGGAAGCAGGCAGGAGTTCCAAACCTTTCCTGTCTGTTTCTGAAAATAAAATGTTTTTATTGCTTGTGTGCATACAGGCGTATACATTTAAGTCTGTGTGGTAGCACACACACACACACACACACACACACACACACACACACACGTATATGCATGCAGGTAGAAGACAGAGGTTGAGGGCAGGTACCTTCTTTGACTGTTTCCATTTTATATATAGAGGCAGAATCTCTCACTTGAAGCAAGAGCATGCCCAGTCAGTCGCTCAAGGTAACCAGCTAGCTAGCCCTGCGGAATCCCCTGTTTCTGCCTCCTGAACAGTGCGATTAGAGTTGAGCAGCCACCCAGCATTTATGTGGGTGTCCCGGATCAGGACTCTGCTCCTCACATGTGTACCATAAGCACTTTAACCCTTGAACCATCTCCCCAGCCCCCACCTTCCTACCATGAATGCAGACTGCCCTTAATCATCTTGAAGTCAGGGGAAATATTTGTGGAAAGAGCTATCCTGGGTTTTCTGGGACTGCTTGACACACCACTTATGATGATGGCTGAGGCTGCACACCTTGATTCTGGACACAACAAGCCTGATATTAACTTGATCTATTTCTTCCTTTCTTTTTTAAAAATTATTGAATTGGGTTTATATACCCCACTTGATGCCTCTCCCCTTGCACTGCTACAAAGAGACATAAAATGGATGAGAAGGCACGTAGGCTCTTAGCCCAACTGAATAAATTCTCAAGGTTATTAAAATCCACACTCAGATATCTCCTTAATTGGATGTATGAGCATAATGGCTCACATTTTTTTTTGATGAGGGGAATAATTAAATGCAAGAGCACACAATGCACATGCTGGAATAGTGAGACTGAGATTCCAGCGGCTGGAGCTCAGATGACACCAAGGTGATGGTTTTATTAATAATTCCTTGTTATTTTTCCATTTTCTTGCCACGTGGCATGCCGTCTTTTCAACAAGGATACACCTTTATCAAAAGCCTATTCAGCTTCCAATAAACACAAAACAGCAAATAAAGATATTTCAGAGCTCACCACATTCCAGGAGTGGAGCGACACAAGGAAGCAGAGGAAAAGCCAATAGAGGATTACTTTTGACTGACAAAAATGAGCGACTTGTGCATCTCAAACTGATGGTGACACTGATGGTTCTATCCAATATCTGACTTTTTGCTTTGACTGTTTTATCTCACAAATATTTATTAAGCCTTAATGACACGAAGCTGGTGCACAGTAGACAGGGAATAAAATGAGATATTTGGTATGGGAGAAACCCACAGTAAACAAGGCACAGATAATGTGCACACAGACACTGACTGAAAAGGGCATTGTGAAGGCAGGATTCTTACCCTCACCTCCATCACACACTTTACTTTTATCACAAGTTGATGTTCTTTGGATTTTCTTTATTCACAGACTACACATGGATGGCCCCTGTAGGTCTCTGTAACTCTCTGCATGACTTGCAGATGACTTCATCTCAGCTCTTCTGCACAGCTTTCTTTGATTAGCTCAACCAACATCCACTGAACATGGACTTTGTGCTAAGCACTGGAAAATGCGCTGGGGTATAGCTCAAATAGCAAGGCAAGGTTCCTGTGACCTCTCTAAGCTGAGATGTGTTTTTAGGAGGAAGCCAGATGGTAAATATATAAATAGATGAACGAAGAAGACGTCAGCAGGTCATAAACACCGCAGAGATAATAAAACAGGGCAGGGTGATGGATGGCCCTGGGAGGTTCTTGTGAACTCTCACCTCAAATTAATTCTTAATGGCTATATTATATAGATAAGGCTTAAGCGTTAATGGCCATATTATATTGTTTTGTGTCTTATATATATAGTGGCAAAGAAAATTATTTATATATATATATTCATTCAGGGTTATTTTTATATAAATACACTTTTATATAAATATATTTGTATAAAATTTTATACATTTGTTTTATTTTATACTATGTATGTCTACATGTGTGTGTATATATATATATGTCTCTCTCTCTCTCTCTCTATATATATATATATATGTATATGCATTACATTGTTCAGTGGCTCTGGAGTCTAGAAGAGGGCATAAGATACTCTGGAAGTGGAGTTACAGGCCACATAGGTACTGGGAACCAAACCCAAGTCCTCCTCAAGAGCAGCAAATGCTCTTAAATACTGAACCATCTCTCCAGCCCCTTAAGTTATACATTTTCATGTTTTAAAATCTACATTCTGCCTATGAAAGAAACATGTGGTACTTGGCTTTCTGAGTCTGCCTTACCTCACTTACTGATACTCTTTAGTTCTGTCCCCTTTGCAAATGAAAGTGTTATTTTTATTCCCGGCTGAGTGAAACTCCTTGGTGTAGATAATATGTTTTTTTTTTTTCATTCATTCATCTGTTGATTGATACCTTGGCTATTGTTAGTAGTGCTGGAAGAAGCACAGTGTCTGTATCCTGTATCTCTGACCTACTAAGATCACTTGATCACTTGATGAGTTTTTTTTTTTTTTAATTGCTGCAATGGAACATCATGACCAAAGTGTAAGTTGGGGAGAAAAAGAAAGATTTATTTGGCTTATCCTGCCGTAGCACTCTTCACCATGGAAGGAAATCAGGACAGGAACTCAAACAGCAAGATCCTGGAGGCAGGAGCTGATGCAGAGGCAATGCAGAGAAGCTGCTTATTGGCTTGGTCACATGGCTTGCTCAGTTTTCATTCTTATAGAACCTGGGAACACAGGCCTAGGGGATCATCCAAAAGGGGTTGGGCCCTTCCCTGTCAATCACTAATTAAGAAAATATCCTACAGGCTCATCTACAGCCCAATCCTATGGCAGTATTTTCTTAATTGAGGTTCCCTCCTATCGCATGACCTTAGCTTGTGCCAAGTTGATATAAATCTAGCCAGCACAGTGTGGCTGGAATGTATTTACATGGTAGTTACACTTTCAGTTTTTGAGGAACAGCCCTACTGGCTAATTAACATTCCCACAAGTAGTGTGTGCCTTGTTTTTTTTTCTTCTTCTCCTCCTCCTCCTTCTTATTATCTGAATCTTTACTAGCAGTCGTTGTATTTCCTCCCTCACTCCCTTCCTTCCTTCCTTCCTTTTTTCTTCTTTCTTTCAAGACAGTGTTTCACTATGTATCTCTGGCTGACCTGGAATTTACTATGTGTGCCAGGCTTGCCTCATACTTACAGAAAATTACCTGCGTCTGCCTCCTGCATGCTGGAATTCAAGGCATGAAACATTATATCTAGCACTGTTTTTTTTATCTTTGATCTTAGCTATTTTATTTTTTTTTGTCATGGCTTCTTTTATATGAAGACTCTAGATTTTATACCTATATAATATGTATACATATATACACACATACTACATACTTATGACATGAAAAAAGAAAGTGATCTGCTGTAGAAAATAAGGACAATATAATGGGGAGCAATAAGACAGGCTAATGGGAATAAATATGAGCCAAATACAATTATAATATATACATGTATGTAAATGTGATAAAACCAATTACTTAGTATGCTAACTAAAAATAATAAATAAAAGTGATCTTAGAGATGTAGAGATGGTTCATGTTTTAAGTGCAAAAACTTGTTGTGTATATCAGTGAACATGTGTGTGCATGTGAAGGTCAGAGGCCATCTTGCAGGAATTGGTCATCTCTTTCCACCATGTAAGTTCCAAGACTCAGGCTTCACTCCATGCCTCTGTGCCTGCTAGTCCATCTCATTGGCACAATTTTAGCCACTTTGACTAGAGTGAGCAGAAACTCAGAGTGAGTTTGATTTGTATTTCCCTCATGGCTAACAATGAGGAACAGATTTTAATCCATTTCTTGATTATTTATACCTCTTTTGAGAACAGTCTGTTCAGTACATCTATCCATTTGTTGATTGGATGATTTGCTTTTGTCTTTTAGTATTTAACCTCTTGTGTTCCTTATGAATTCTAGATTCTAATCTCCTTGCAGATGAATAGTGGACAGTTTTATTCTTCTGTTCTGCGGGTTCTTCACTCTACAGATTGTTTCTTTTGAAGTCCAGGCTATTTTTAATTGTGTGTAATCCCATTTGTCATGTCCTGACCTACTGGGGTTCTTTACAGAGAGTCCTTGAGCAATGGTTAATTTAAGTGTTTTCTCTCTAGCAGATTCAGAGTCGTCATCTTAAATGAAGGCCTTTGATCTATTTTGATTTTTTTTTTCTGAGTGAAAAAGAGATAGAGGGATCCACCATCATTTTTCTACTTGTAG